CCGTAGACCGCTCGCTCCGTTCTAAGCAAGTCATGGGTTCAAATCCCGATCGCGACGGATATTAGGCGATAAAAAATAGGTAAACACAGTTCCTTCAATAAGCACTCCATTTCTTGAAAGTTCCAGGTAAAAATCTTATATTTTTAGCAAAGAAAAAAGTTATTAATTTGCAATACTCATACTTTTTTTCACCTGCTTTCACTGAAAGTGGGGGTATTAATGTGGGTCTGTTCGTCCGTCCATATTTCTGTCTGTCTCTAACACTTTCCTTTCCTCGCTATATCTCAAGAACCCTAAAAACTTTTTCATTGAAATTTTCCATAGCAGCTCCCTATGGCCTAAAAAGTAACCTACTGATTTGAAGTGAAAAGGTCAAAGGCCAAGGTAATAAATCGATAAATTTTGTCTGTGTTTTAACACTTTAGTTTTCGCGCGATATCTCGAAAATCCTTAGAGCTTTTTCAATTACATTTTACATAATAACTCCCTGATGCCTATGGAAGACCCCTTTTGATTTTGAGGTCAAAAGGTCAAGGTTCAAGGTCGTTAATTCATCCATTCAGTTAGTGTGAAACACTTTCATTTCCGTTGAATATTTGCTGTGTTACAAGAAGATTTTGAGCTTTTGCAGTTAATTTTTAAACAAACACTTTCTAGGAACTCTCTCACCCCTTTATAAGTCCCTGCCCTTTTTAATACTGATTTTACTACAAGTAAATGATAGTATTCATAATGTGAAATGAAAAAGTTATGGTGTCTGGCTTGTAAAAACTCATAAAATCATCATCACAGTGTGATGAATATTCTAAATAAAAAGTATCCTCTATACACACAATAAAGAATAAAAAATCAAATCTTTATATTCTTTTTGATTTCCTTCAATATACATGTACATATAAACATTAAATAATTCTGCAAATTCAGGGGGATCAGACCCCCGCCCCCTAGATCCACATGCTCTTCTTTTTTCCCTTAATCAGGGGACACAAATTCTACGAATTAGATTCTTACAAGTTTAATAAATATCAAAAGTGCGGTAAACCCACGATTTTCTCCCTTTTAATTAGAGAGTTTTAAAAACGTTATTTCTGTTTTAATGTTTATGTACCTAAATGGTTTATTCTTCTCTGATTTCTGTTTACTAAATTTTCTATTTCTAAGTTTTACATATTTTTCCCTTATCCAAAGTAAGCCACAGATTGGATCACCCTATTTATGCCCTGCATATTTATCTTAGAAATCGGAAATTTATTTGAAGATATTATGGAAATATTACCAATCATCGTATGTCATCGTAATAGCAAATGGCCGTCTGGCATGATTATTCAATCAAGGTACCCAAATCCAACTTGGCATCGTGACCAAAACAATTCCACTACAGATCATCCCTTTTCCCGCATTTGTAATGATAAAGCCTTTACTTGATGCAAAAGTTGTTAGTGTTACCGCTTGTTATTCGCGCGTGAACTAATTCGCACCGATGTATGAAAAAGTATATAAAGAAGGCACTTTGGACTTTTTCTTCAGTCTGAGATGTTGATCAGTCCTATAAACATCTGTTCAACTCAGAGAATCGCAACTCCCCATAATTGTGTAAAATCTGATGCCCCCATACTGGGTAAATTAACCCATTATCAATATTGAGTAACCCAATCCCCGGCAGACCCATACCAAATTGATTCATCGTTTATAAATTCATCCGGGTGACCCGCTTGACCCGGATACCCTTTTATTTTCTGGTGACCGATAATTTATTATTGGTTAATTGATAATCATTTTTATTGTTATATGTTATTCATTGTTTCCACCATAATAAATCTTATAAATTTAAAATTTGACTTTTCATTTAGAGTTAAAGGGTAAAATTCAGAAACAGCAGACCCACAATAATTTAATTTTGTTGTAACAAACCCTGGAACAGGCGTAAACATTACATAAGTGACATGCATATAAACCAGAATTCTTGAGTGGTTTTTGCACTTAGTTTTTACATTGAACCGTTAATAGATTAAAATTTCCAAACTAGTACAATATTTTTTTTTGTTGTCTTATAAAACCCAGTCTCAATTAATGTGTTTTAAGAATTCATGAGACGGAAACAGTCACTAAAGCTACAAAAACAAAATTTGTACATAGTTTATTTCAATAAATGACACATATCTGAAAAATAATATGTGGTCTTTCGCATCGTAAGCTGATGATTTTGCAACATATAATGCAAAAGAAATAATCATTTTTTAACATTCCAACAATATTTTATTTCCAAAAATAAATGAGATTAAACAGTAGACATAATATATTTTAGTTATTTCTTATAAAAGAAATTCGAAAGTATATTTTCTTGCGCTTGCAAATTTATAGAAAAGAAACTTTAAAAAAAGACGTTGTTAATCAAAGATAATTAGTATTCCACAGAATAATTTAGCAGTTGAAAAACTCTAAAATTTATTATATACTTAAATTGTAATGCTAAACAGACTATGATGTTTCTTCTTTGAAATTAAAGAACATAACTACGTGTACACTGTTATCATGAGATTATTCACACATACTTTTATTATTCGTAAATTAGCTAGCTAGAACAAGCAAACCATTCAATATTAAACATGAGTTGACTTTAATAAGTTAATCATCATCTAATATTAAGGTTGAGTTGCATTTGACAACAATAAGTAAATCATCTAGTATAAAACTTGAGTTGACTACAATAAGTAAATCATCTAATATTAAACTTGAGCTGGCTGCAATAAGCAAGCAATTTAACATAAAACTCTAGCAGACTACAACAAGCAAATCAATCAACTTTGATTAAAGGTCTATTGTCTAAGGTAACAGAAGATTGATATTTTTCCCTATTTGCAGAGAAAATCTTTGATGTTGACAATGATTGAATATTAATTAAGTCAATGTACATTCAACCACATGGTTTTTTTCATAGAAACTCCTTTTACAAAAATATTAATGTAAAGCTGGGACAAAGAGATATGAAACAGTATGAATGAATATCATATGACAAGTCAAAAACTACTGTAAAAGTATTATATTTAGCGTGTACAACATTTAGCAGAAAGTGATTCTTAAACAAGTTAGTTTTGGATTTGTTTTAGCGCATTTATTTAGCGATGTACTTGAATTAGCGGAAGTATCTTTCCGCCAAAAGCGCTAAAAAGAATACACCACTTAATGTAATACGTTTACAGTATTTTAAAGCAGAAATATAAGAATAAATATCCACTTGTATACATGTAGGGAGTTACATAAAAAATGACAAAATATTTGTATTTTCTTAATATTTCAATATTATGTTTTTCGTTGAAAACAAGTTACTTGTAGAAGTGTCAACCCTCAAAGCAAAATTACTCCAATTACTTAAAATAACAACTAAATAAAAATAAATAAACACTAAAGAAAAAAGGTCATTTTATCTGAAGTATGATTATTTTTAACAGTGCTGCTTCCCAAATGTTGTGAAATGGAACTTGTTTTAACGCCTTTTGATAAGAGTGAAGAGATTCTAAGGAGGCCCCACAGATCTGTTGACAGATACCAAGTATTTGCCACGAAATATCTTTGAGAGGAAAAGGTACAAAAATCGAGTCATCAGAGGACAATAGAGACTGAAGATCACGTAGAGATTGTTGTGCCCGCACTGTGTCACCAAGTTTGTGGTGATTCAGTATAAACAACATGTGTAACATGACTAGACTTGGGATTCGTAATGAATGTATGCCATACTTCTTACTGATCTCCTGTTCTAACACAAGTTCCTTGATGTAAGTGTACTTAGATTCAAGCACAATATTTCTCGCTACAGCTCTTCTCATTCTGGTGCCAAGGGTATTTCTTTCCATGAAGTGTATATACATATCTACGTTAACTTGATCCTTATACATGACATACGGCAATGACATCTTTTGCTCTACTTTATGTAAACAACTGAGTGAATGTTCATATCTTCGTGTTCTGTTAAAGAACATAGCAAGATACATAATGTCAGATAGACAACCAAACTTACACGACTGTTTAAGTAATTCACATCCTTTATTATCTTTATAGAACACCTTATTGCTATTTTCGTGTTGATTTTTTCTACACTCTAAGAACATGGCTGTGTTCCGTAACACGTTTGATGTAATACATTGTAAAGAGACTGTCTGATATACGGAAAGCCTTCTCTGAATCATACTTTGTATTTGTTTTATATAAACTGCGAAGTCCTCAACACTCGTTATATCTTGATGAAATACTGATAATTCTCTTAAAAAGTTCATATCTAATTTATGGCTAGATATAAAACTGCTCTCGTCTGTACAGACTCTCAATGCTCTGTTAAACATAGCCTTACTGAGGTAAGGTCTGATTGTTGTACACAATAGTAGACAGGATATCCCTTTACTATACAAATCATGCAACTGACTGAACAATAAAGTTTGTACAGAACCAGTGATTTTCACTCTAAACATGTTGTTTTGTGGAATAAAAAAGTGTGGACATTCTCCAGTATATACCATGTGAATCAATAATTTAAAGCATGCCCAGAAACAATTCAATATGTTTTCCGGTGTCCAAATCAAAGAACTATTGTTTTGTATGACCCAAAAGACAATTGTTTTTATGAAGTAAGAGCAGAGAATGGATGTATTTGGCTGACTTTTTATAACTTCTATAAGAAAAAATTTGAAGAGACCATAGCACAAAAATTGACAGTGATTCATTGAGTAAACGAGCTTTTGTTCTGCTCGAGCGAATGAGATTCTCCATTCAAGTTCATTTTCAGGTGTGCCTCCGATAGGAACAACATGAAACCCTCCTCTTAGTATATCTGAAACAACGTATTGATCTGGCCAGCCATGTTCACGAGATCTCTGTATCCATGGTAGTGCTGGCGTAGGCCAGTGATATGACTGGGAACAGAACACATAGTCAAAGAATAAATCTGCGAAACAAGGTCCATGAGGGGAAAAAGAAGTGTAACGGTCATTGATGGTCTTTAGGAATTGGATATCGGTTTCTCTGAACAATTTACTAGAAATATATACATTATTTTTCATTACAACACGGGAGAAATCGATGGTCGCATCATTTGACGGACTCATCAGCTTAAGTCTGGTACATCCTGGTGGTAAACCATCAAACTCCATAATAATCACATTGTTCCATGAGGGAGGATTGGGACTGATCTGAGAGAGATCACCAATTACTTTGACATTTGATGGCCAGAACATGAAATCTGCATTTGCAAAAACCCTCACGATAACTACCACTTCTCATGCTGTCAAATCCTCTCATAATATACACAGGTTTATTCACCATCTCGTCAATGTCCATCACTTCTCTCCTGATCCTCACTTCTGTAGGACTCCCTATTTCACAACACAGTCCTACGTACACAAATTCTGAAAGGCACATATCTGAAACATAAAGAAATTTACATTATTTCCCTTATTTTCCTATGAATGCCCAAATATTTTTAATGAGAATACTCAGCTATTGACCATACAATTGTGCTTATTGGTCTTTTGTGTTTGAGAAACTATCTCTAAGGACGAAATAAATAAAACGTTAACAATAAGTGATTTGCTTCTTGCCATGTCCGTTCAGAGTTCTTTAGAAGATGAAAAAAATGTACATGTAATAAATGTTTGAGAGATTTAGAAAATATTGGTCAACGTGAGTATATATATAGTAAGTCTTTCAAGCCTAAGTTCGTTCAGAAATTAAATTCGTGAACAATAAACTTCTAATAGCCGTAAAAAATATAAAGTATATGAGCACCCCTTTCGAGAGATATTCGTATGGCATAAAAACAGTTAGAGAAGAGAAGGATATGATTTACATTTAATAATCCTAAATTGAATATGAAAAGGAAATTGGGTGTTATGTTCATCCAGACATGAATCTTTAAAAAAAAAAACTGATCGCATTTATTTTTTTTCTGATACCCCTTGACTTTTCATATTAAGAAGTGTGCTAAAGTGTACATAGTGTATTCTTTTTTTTAGCAAAATAATTAATAATGATGATTAAATGATCAAATGATTTAAAACACATGGAGTGAAATAAAAAAAATTAATATTTATTCTAATGCAATTAGTATTTTGATAACCCGGTTACCCATCAACCAGCTAATTTCTTTCTATAATCCTTTCAATGCTACAACACCGTATCTTTTCCTCCTTTAATGAGTAAAAAGTCTTTAAAACAGTTTGTTGTGTGTTGCCATCTTTGTGACGTTTAATAATTTGTTTGAAATTCTCAAAAGTATTATTAACAATGACATATAATTTTTTATATTTTTCACAAAATTTTACTAAAGAGGTCGTTTTAATACCAAAAACAATAAAGCAATATCTGCAATTAAAAATCCAGTCTTTTCATGAGTTTTGATGAAGGAAGTGCGTAATTAGTATATAGATACGTATGTCCGCGGGAAATCTTTGACAACGACGTTGTGACAACAATTATTAATGAAAGGTTAATATGTATCATTACAGAGTAGATGGTTACTACCGATTACACTAAAAGATCATTAAGGCTAAGACATTTGCCATCCATGTCAAAAGTTAGTTGTATTCCAAACGACCTACCTCGTTTTCTTGACGCCATGTTTGTTAATCAATCTAAAAATAGCGACGACGTCAAGTGATGGATTTATTTGAGAAGAAGCATTACTTTCCTTGCAGAATAATATAATTCTGATTTGTCATCTTTATATTGTGCTCAATTTAAATGGTGTAATTTACTGTATTTTCGTAACCTTTATTGGAAAACAAAATTTATTTCCAACCATATTTAAACCGACACAAGTTATAGCGTGTATTGCTTTAAATATAACAAGAACATGCTAATTTTTGTCTCGACGTCTTGTTAAATTTTAAAATAAGATTTTTTTCTACTTAAAACCCGACATAATAAGCACCGCCTTCAGATTTTCCTGGAGTGTATTCCCCTGTCAATCAAAGAATTAAGGTTCATCATTGAGTACTTAAAATTGATTAACATTTAGCTACTAGTCCCTGTGTATAACTCTTTCACCTTGTTTGACACCCGTGGCCACCATCGAAATAACTTTCGGTCTTCTGATGTTTACCGCTAAATTACAAGCACAGTGAGGAAGCCATTTTGATGCAAACAATTTTAGCTTGATTATAATTGTTTATAATTATATGAATAAGAAACATGTCATTGAAAATTTTCTCATAGTGTTTCAGTAAAATAAATCAATATTGTGTATAATTTTTATGAATGAAAAATGAATAGGTGATTGATATCTCGTCCTCACTCGTAAAAGATTCTTAGCTTGTTTTAGACGCGGCGAAAAAATTACGATAAAAATAAAGGAAAAAATTAAAAAAAAGCTGGTAATGAATAGCAAGGATGAAAGCAAAATACCTTATTAAAAACAAATTAGCCTGGACAAGTATTAAGACTTTCTCTCTTTTCTTTTTTATTTTTTTTTTATAACTGCGCATTTCTTACTACGCGGGTAGAACTCCGTTCAAGGTCACAGATGTTAGAAATTGTTTCGAAAGAAATACATAACGCGGGTATGTTAAGGCAGCACATGGACCAGAATTTGGCGAATTAAGACTTTTTTATAATTATGTAACACTAATAAATTGGAAAAGTCGAAAAAAAAAATGCATTATTCCCGTAAACCATACGATTCTAGCAGCACTTTCCAAAAACAAAAGAACAAGAACTTTAGATAGAAACAAAAATTGAGTTTCAAAGTGTGCGGCGTAGTATTAAACTTTTGCATCTTATTTGTTACGAACGAGTGAGGAAAGGCTGATCGGCAAGTAAGAACCCTCCCTGCTTTAATTTTACGAAGAAATTATTGAAGTATATTACTATACCTTATTCATAAGCTTTATTCCCACATGAATCACACACGATATTCATTCTAAATGCTTTTTAACTCCGATTTCTTGTGTTTGTTTACATGAATTCTCGTTACGTTTCACTTTCACTCTGCTACTGCATGATCAACAGTTATGACGTCACGGGTTTGGTATTTAACCCCTGTGATAACTACAGAGACCCAGAAACGACAAAATTCTGTTTGTATTATGCCTCTGCATATTTCTGATTAATTTTTACGACCTCAAATCAATATTATATATCGATTATAAGTAATTGTTATCTCTAAACTTCACGTCATATAGCTTACTATGACGTCATACATGTATCATATAGGCAAGTAGAATATTTGGTTGTTACCTTAACCTACCTGATAAATTAGCAATACCTTAATAATTCGTTTTCAGCTAGTCTATTATAAATCAGATAACTTTAAATTCACACACCCTTGTACACAATTTTAATTTCTTGAAACCATCCAAATCGCAAATTTTTCACAAAAGGACACCTTTGCTTATAATAGGACTACGCGACTTTTCATACAAACGGGAAGTAACTGTTACCGTGATTGAAGCTCTATGCTACTATATTTACGCTAATTATAAACAGTTCTTAAAATATAAAAAAAGGACAGGCAAGAAAGAATATTTTACATTTGAAATTGTACCTGTATTTCATTATGATTTCAACTAATTGCTGCTGTGACGTACAATGTAAGGCACATACCCTTGATTTTTACAAAAGTCGGCCGATGGGATTTCTGCTTGTTTAATTTGATATACGTACATGTATTAGATATAAGTCTGAAAATTAAGGAATTTTGCAAATTTTATTTATTACTAATGACATCTTTTATTTACGTTGCCGAGATCTACTAATATTATGATGGAAAGAAGGACAAACTGGCTGTACAGGTAATACTCATGGACTTCCTGTGTATACTGTTTGTGTATAGTGATTAGCGTTTTGCACGGTCTGAACGACCGTCAATGCCTCGGGGTGCCACGCATGTAAAATTTAGTCCCTCCCCTTACCTGAGAAAACAATACGGTTAAAAATCTCGGCCTTTAAGAGTCTTTAAAAATATTTTCAAGCCCCAAGCAGTTTTTCTAAATTGTTTAAAGTAAAATTATGATTTTTTTCCAGATTCTAAATAAAAAAGCGACCCTTTCCCTGTGCTTTATAAAGATTGTTTAATGTTTCCAAAGCAGATTAAATATTAAAATTGGCGTATAATGAAACATACGGAGATAACAAACAGTATTCCATATCAATAGACCTAAAACAATGCAAAATAGTAGCAGGGCAAACACGGACCTCCACAACATCAGAGGTGCATGGGATCAGGTGCAATGAAGGAGTGAGCATCCCCTGCCGATCGGTCACAACCGCCATGTGTGTGCTCCTTGTCATGATCGGGAAATAACGGAAAAATCCGTCATCAATTCAATGTATAAATAATGGACTAACAAGAAGTATAAAAAAAGTCAGTCAGCATTTGACTCAATGATAAATTGTATTTGTGGATAAGGTCGTTATATCGAACATAGAACTTACGAAAATATGGTTTTAAACGAGCCTGCTGATATTCTTGTTTTATCAATTTGTTTGTCAATAATTTACCTCATTGTAGACATTGTTCATACGTAAAGCACACTCTTGCGTATCTTATCAACTGAGATATGTAAACTCCGTATGCAGGTGATGAAGGTATATTGCTGAATAAGTAAGGGAAGTTGACGATGGAAAAGTTCAAGTCATCACGTTATCACAGAGCTTTGTTGTAAGATTACCATTAACGTCTTTTGCAACTAAAATATTTAAGCATTATAATTTTTTTGTGATTAATTAGAGAAAATGTGCAATGATGATGTCTACTTATTTTAAAGCAGTGTGTTTTTCTTTACTGAAGACAAGAAGCCGCGTCCTTATGTAAGCCAGGATTTAACCTGGTATTCTTGACATCGAAGAATGCAAATATAGTAACTAAACAAAGATTATTCAATGATCGTGACATTATGAGTGGAATTACTCTTCTGGTATATTTTCCATGATGCGCTATTGCGCATGTGCACTGAATAACATTGTTTATTTCTTAAATAAATAGGCCTGCATACATGCGTATCTTTTAACGAAATTTTGGAAGTTCTGATGAGTGATGTATTTCACATGCACACGAAAATTATTAATCTTTGTTTGTAAAGTCAATCTACATCCCCCTTCCAACGTCTCATTTCATACTAATTTAGTGAAAAAATAACCTTTGAAAAAAAGGAGAGGGCCGTACCCATCCTACCCCGATTCTTTTTCTATGTCACTGAAGGTATATGTTCACATGAGTGCAAATTGGGTACAAGTGAAATAATTTTCAAAAATAATATTACCAATTAGGATTTTCCCGATGTACATTTGATGCAATGTTGCATTGAATAATTTTTATAGTTTATCAGGAAGATAATATGCAGGAGAATATAGCCTTGTATTTTTTTCCACGATGCTAAACCTTGGTCAATAAAAGCGGTAGGAGGTACTCTCATATAATTAATCA